GAGGAGAAATGTTTTGGTGGGTATTTACCTACACAGCACAGTTACTTTGGTAAGTGATAAGAAGGAATGTCTTTCTATAGCCAGTGAGATAGGACTTGCCTCTTTCCTCTTCCATAGTATCCCTTCAGAGATGAGTAAAACAATTTTGTATAGCAGGGCTGTATGCTTCTTTTGGCTTTTATACTGGGTCCTGACCTCCATTCTCAAGTGATGTGGGGGAAAAAATTAACATTTGCTTTCAATTTTGCTGTTGTCACATTGCTGTAGAATTCAGTGCTCTCACGCTTGAAGTCTTCTGTGGATCAACCAAATGAATCAAGGACACAAGCTAAAATAGTTTTTAATGAGTTCTTCAAATTGAAAAGTAGTATATTATTTTCCATAAATTATTTTGCTTCTACTTAACCATCGTGGTACTTATCTTCCTGGGTGGTCGTGTTATCCCTCTGAAATTTACTGCAGTGGAAGTGGATGAAGCCTGAATGATATTTCTCACCCAGACGTTCTTTAAATGTGGTTTCCCCAAAACATTAATGATTTCCCTATGCTTTCATTTTCCATTAAGAATAATTTAAACCGCTCCATAATTAGATCCTAATTTCTTTAGCAGAACTTAAAACAAGCGTGCGTTCCGTCTACATGGTTTTGAGCATCATCAGCACTATATTCATCCAGTTTTGCAGAGAAAACAAAAATGTGAACAGAATTGCTTGTTTTAAACTAGGTCCAGGTAGGGAACGAAAGCATTACACAAATTATATTATAAGTAATTATATTATTAGCATTGCATGTTACGAAGGAGAAGGTTGCCTATCTGTGGCCTGCTCCAGAAGGGATGCCATGCTGTTGACCTGGGCTACAATTTGATGGTTGGTGGAGCCAGGCTCACAGCTGTTTCCTTCATCTCTTCTCTCACCCAACCCTTCCAGGGGCCATTCCTGCTCAGAAAGCAAAGCTGGGAGACAGGGGGTTAGTCTTCTTGCAAGCTTTAAGTTGCACCATTTCACAAAGTGGTCCTGTGAGGGCCCAACACAGGAAGGTGATGGTGGTGGTGGTGGTGCCCAATGCCAGGAATGGGAGAGGCAGGAGCAAGGAGCTTTTGACTTCTCTGCACGCCAATACATCGACTAATTTTTATCCTCAAAACCTTTTAGTGACACCTCACATCAGAATTAGAGACTCAAAAAATTAGTAAAATGAATACAGTGTTAGAGAACAACAGCTAAGAAAACACCCTTCCATTTTCTTCCATACCCCTAAGACTACCCAAATCACAAGCTCCGTGTACCCCAGTTTGCCACCCAAGGTAAACATGCACAGAAGCAGGAGGTGAATAACTGGCTCTATGAATGATGAGCAATTGATTATTAATGTCCAAATTTGTCATTTGTAATTGTACCTGGACTGATTTCTGAACAGCTTACCCACTTCGTAGGTTTTAGGCATCATGCACATAGGCACGTTCATGTTTTTCTTTTCTGGTGTACCTGTTTCAGAGTAGAAATATTTTTCGAAAACAGGCTGAACTTCAGCTGTTTTGGAGTACATGTTTATGACTTGCTGATTATTTCTCCTAGTGTCTTTTCTAAAATCTGATGGGGGAAACCCTGCTTTTAGTTATTTTACAACTTTGTTGACAGTTTGTGCTGTAACAGCTATGATGTGATTGGATTTGTGCCAAGTTGGGAAGTTCTGAGTGGAAACTTGTAGCCTTCTGTTTATGAAAGCCTGGATTTCTCCGTCACATGCACACTCGTCTTCTATGGGAGGAAGGATTTTCTGTGATTCATTAGAAAAAATCAGAAGCTTTGCCTTGAAATCTGCTATCATTGACGGATAAAATATTGGGAGTCAAAGGAAAAGAAAAACAAAACCGCAGGGATCCTGGGAGAAGACTGAGCCTCAGTACCAGTGAGGGACTTCTCAGCCATGGCTGTAGCACATGTGGGAACATGCTTCCCTTCCCCTTATGTTTCCTCTTCAAATCCTTTCCTAGATGCTAGAAAGAAAAATGACCTTTCAGAACTGAAAGCGAGTATTGCCAATTCCGTGCATTTCTTCGGTGACGGACAATTTACCCTAATACCTCTGTCCTTATGTCTTATTTATCTCTCAAAATCTTTTTATCTAGTCTGTAATATGCTGAATGTTAACAAAATTTTCAAACATTGAAAAACTGAAGAAAGGCGGTAGGGATTTTCTCTCTCCTCTTTTTCAGGGAGAATGATATTAAGCACTGTTTTGGTTTTGAAGCCAACCTCTTAGTGTAACATGCTATTATTTAATCGTCATTATGTTTATTATACAAATGAAATGTTTTTATTGGACAGTGCATATGTATAAACACACAAAATTATTCACATAGCCCCATGCACATTTCTTCTGGGAGATTCCCGTGTCTGAAACGTAGGGAGCAGAGCGATTTCTCACTTTTCAAGAGCTACTTTCCAAGTTTCCAGTCATCAAAGTATCCAGTGGCATTATAGTGAATATAGGGAAATAGGATGTGATTTCAGTCCTACTTGGAGTGCACGGGTGTCCCCATCATAACAAACACGGATGTCTGCAGTATTTGTTTCCAAACCTAATAGAGAATTGAGCAAATAGATTTGATTTTTCAATAGTTGTAAAGGGAGGCACTGTGAGCCTTACACATTTAGAAAGACAAAGGCTGCCATGTCCAGCTTCTTTTATGTGCACTCAGCATGTGGAAAGGTGCTCCACAGTTTGTCAGATTGTCTTCAAATACCCAGGTAAAAGTAAATTCCATTCACGATGCAGTATTTCTTGTGAAAAAACAAAACAAAACAAAACAAAACAAAAACAAAAACAAAAACAAAAACAAAAAACAGGCTCTCTCTGCTCAAACCCTACTCTCCCCTGGAAGCTTCAGTAGGAAGTGAGGTTTCAAGTAAAATGCTGGAAATGTGGGAAAACCCATGCTTGGTACTTAGTGAGGAATAATAGCTCTTGACTTCTCAAAGTACAAAACATGTTTTGCTTCCCAGAAAAAAAAAAAAAAAAAGTCCTAAGCCTTGGAATAATTGTATTTCTAGAATGTATCCTAAGTGGAATATTCCCTTTATTCTTTTTTCACCACTCCTGGTATTTCTTTTTTTTTTTCTCTTTTGTTTCTGTTGGTGATTTAACAAGTGGTTCTTTTTTTGTACTTTGTTTGCAAAGATCTAGGGGAGCGAGCAGGAGTGTGAGCTGGAAGCGCAGACCTCAGGTGGCAGCAGGGTTTGTTGCAGATGTCTGTGCAGGGACAACCGGCGTGTGCGTGTGCGCGAGTGCGCGTGTGTTGTGAAATAAAGGGGAAAGCAGAGGTTTGCTCATTTGTTTGCCCATTGTGAAGCTGTCCTGCACCTTTCTCCTCCTTTGTGGCAGGGTGAAGGCTGCTGAATGGCGGCCTTGTGCCGTTTGTTGGTTTTAAACCTCGCTGCTAATCCACAGGAACCTGCTGGTGCGCGCAGCAGGAGCGCTGTGTGACAAGTGGAGATCTGGGCGGGGGGCGCGCGGGGGGTCACCGGGGATAATCATCATTCAGCCAGCAGCCTTTGTCACCCCTAAGCCTAATTGTTACCCTCTGCTGGTAACCACATTGAAGTGCTGGCCTTTTAAGTGCTGCTTGATTTTGCTTGGCACAGGCTCGCGGACCGGATCGTTCCTCCTTGGGTTTACATCCTCTCAGCTTTGCTGCGTTTTGTTCTGAGCCTCGCCGAGTTTTCGGCACCCCCTGAAGTAACTCAGGAGAGTCCAAAGCGACAGAAGGAGCCGGATGGAAACAGTTAACAAGTTTCTCCCTGTCAGGAGCAGGGCTCAAAATGAGGCAGAAAGCTTTCCTGCTCTGCAGGCCGGCTGGCCTGTGCAGCCTGCGTAGGAGCAGTAACTTGCCCTGATAGGGATACTGGACTGTAGAGCAGCCCTCTGCCAGCAGCAGCAGCAATGTAGCCTTCACGGTACAGATGGGGGTGGCAGGGACACTTCCATGTCCCTCCCTGTGCCCCCTGCCTGGCCACTTGCAGGTGCTGACTGAAGCTGAGGCCGTGAGAGGAAGGCCTGAGCAAACTACACTTCTCGTGTACAGGGAGGGGGAGAGGAGGATCGAATGATTTAAAAACAATAAAGAAAAAACCTGTAAGAGTGATATCTTTTTCTAACAGTTGGGAACTGGTTCTTCAGCTTTCCATGCCAGTTACCCGTGCTGAAGTAGGCTTTGCACTCTGTTTTCCTTGAAGAAGCTAGTGCAGGAGCAGCTAATGTGAAGCACAGCAGCTACAGCAGAGCCTGAACCTACGGCTTTGCAATGGGCAAGTACCTTGCACGTCGAGTAAGTTTGTGGGGTGGGAGAGGGTTGTTTGTTGGCCTCCTCAGCCCCTTGGCGGTGGGTTGTGTGCCAGCCATTACCTAACACTGCTTGGGCTTGCACCGGGAGGAAAATCCCCAAGTTGGTGGTGCGGGCTGTGGAGCTGCTTTTGATCAAATACACTTGCCTCTGAAGCACTCGGATGCAATGCGACTGTCGTCTCTGCCGCCCTCTGACAGGCAGCTTCTGAAAGTCAGTAGTTGCTACAGGCATCTGGTTACACAGCATGGTTACAGTCTTACTTTCAAGTCCAGTCCTTCCACCTGGCTCAGTATTTCATCAGCAGGCTCGATAATACATCGAAGAGTAGGATGAACATTTTGACCATTTAGTGCTTGCTGCTCTTTTAGGATAGAAGCGGGCCATGAATTTGGCAGGCTTGTCTGTGTGTGTTGCCCCATGTTGCACTGGTCTGATTCCCTACCACCCCTTGGCACATCTGCCTGCTGCGGGGATTTCTTCACGAACCGTGCCAGCCCTAGTGGTACCTGTGTGGGCTTGGCACTTCGTCAAAAAGATGTAACCAGTAAAAAATAAAAATTCAGCACTCAGCTGTTGTATTTTCACCCTTCTGTGATGTGCATTTAATTGTAATTACTGAATCAGGTTAATAACTCTGCAACTGTTTTTTCAGGACATGTCTCAGGAAGGCTATGGAACCAGATCTCAACCTCCTATGGCCCCAGGAAAGCCTAACCATGAAGACTTGAATCTAATCCAGCAAGAAAGACCGTCGAGCTTACCAGTAAGAAACTAATGTTTCTGTTACCATACAATATTTTAAAATGAAAGCACTTTTTATGTAGGACCTCATTGTACCTAGAATAAGCGGATGAGAAATACTGAAAAGAGCAAGTTGATCGGAATGATTTTTTTTTTTAAAAAGGTGGGTCAGAGAACAAATAGCCTGTGTATGAGTGGACTTAGCTTAGGGTTTTTATTGGTCCAAAATATCCCCGTGCATCCACATTTTATATTTGTGCACATGTATTTGCATAGAGGAAATGGACTGATATTTCTTTTTGTCTTTAAGAATTCTGTACTTGCACAAAACAATCTGGTGAGAAAGAGGCTTTTTTCTGTGCCCTTTTCTAAGGATTTCAGTGTATTTTGATTTAGAACACTGCCTCCATGAGTTGTTTGTTCCAAACCCTGAGCATAAATAACGAGTTTGACATGTTAATTCTGCTACGGTCTATTACTACAGTCAGAAGTGCAGAAGAGGGAATGGTAATGATACTTTGGCTAGGTTGATTGTTTGGCTAGAAGATTATTTTGGACTAGCCTTTCTTAGTTTTCTGAGCTCTGTGCATTCTGCTGTGGGGGAAACAGCACACGTAAATACCATTTGCAAAGACACTGCAGCTACTTGCATTGTTAAAGGTCTAATTTCACTGTAATGGACAAAGTACTCTTTGGACTTGTCTCTGTATGCTACTGTTGTTTTAGGGATTTCCTTGGGTTTTGGTAGTAAAACAGTATGAATTTTAACCAACCAGAGTACGGTCAGCTTGAAAGATGAAAACTGTTCATAAATTACATGACCCCTGGCTTATAGGTATGGCAAACCTATAGAATGTTTCCCCCGGTTCACTGAGTGTGTATTCATTTCCAGTTAGCACTGGGATTCCTCTGAAGAGTTCACCTTATCGAGACACTGAATGTATGTGTGAAATCTTGTAGACTGTTGTATATTTTACCTCTGACACATGGCACTATTGTCAACCCTTAAAAATAGGGTAATAACTTTAAAATGCCACGAAGATGTTTATTTCTTTGGCACCTAGGAGAGTACATATGCCACAAATTCTGTCTTTACATGATGTTAAAACATGTATGCTTCAGGAGAAGCTATGAAAACCGGTGTGAGAAGAGCTATCCATTTGCTTTGAACTAGTATTAATTTTGACAGTTTTTCAGGGAAGCGTTTTTTAAGTAGACTAATTTCTCTGAACAGGTCTCAAAAGTGAACAGTAGCAATTACTTTTAAAATAGTAGTTATTGGACATGGAACTGTTCTGGCAACAACTAACTACTTCAAAAAGCAGAAATATTTAAAAGGACTTTTTACATCAGCTTTTCATGAACAGTGTTTATAAGGACGGATAGAAATAGTTATTTATCAGCTAATGTTCTAATTTGCCTGTGTTTTTTCTTAAACAATTGTCCTACTTTTAATCCATACTCTGTTCTACCTCCATCATCATGATATCTAAGCAGACTGTTGGGTATTATCTGTGTCCCTAAGTGTTTGGTATATTTAGTAGCTCATTATTATTCTAGGTATGAGTAAGCTGGCGTGGTATTAACAGTGAATATTAACCGTTTTGACCATGTAGCTTACACTGTAGGTTTGTCCTAAATGTTGTTATTCACACACTTCACTACTGAAAAGCTTTAATCCATAGATCACTTACATACTGAAAAACCTTGCTGTTTGGTCAGGGATGGGAGGTATTACCATTTTGTGTTTTGTTTTTGTTCCACATCTAAATACAGCTGTAACCCTTCACATACGGTGACATTGTTTTTTCGTAATGTGAGCGAGCTTCCTCTTACTTCCAAGGAAAAATGCCTTAGAAATTAGGAATAGCCCATACGTCCATAGTATCGTGAGCATGATGAAGACTTTAATACATGTATAGCTCTGTTGGGGGGTGAGGATAGCTTGACCATATAAATAGTTTTTTCTCCCCTTGAGCAAGAGGTCTGTGTTCAGTTTTCAGCTGCTTATGAAAACCTCCGATCGCTATTCCTCACTTAGCATTCCTAGCTCTAGTGTCAGTTTGGGATGCTAAATGTGGCTTCTTAAACTTGTTTTCGAGATAATGCTGTTCTTGAGGGTAGTCAGTAAGCCGTCTTTGTATATTGAAGCTTGAAGTGATAGTGGTGTTAAGCTTTTAATAAAATTTGGTTATGTTTTGTTTCACGGTATTCTGATATTTATACAATTTGCCCGTTATCTTTTTATTTCTTAAGGGCATTGTGTAAAGTCACAGCAGCTACATAGTGAGCTTATGCGAATGTCTAAAAACAACAAAAGAGATGTAACACTAAATGCTGAATGGTGTTCTCTGATGTGGCTTTGAAAAAAGAGTTTCCCTTTGATGAATTTGAAGAGGAGCTGGCCACTTTCTGCAGCACTGAATGCTGACTTGTGTCATCCTTTTGGAGAGGTTTTTTTTTTTCAGCAGGCTTGTGTCACAGTAAGCACAGCTAAACAGCTCAATAGTTGTTCCGTTTCCTTCACACGTTGTATATAAAAGTCCTGGCATGAATGTTCCCATAAAGTTCAAAGCAGACAAATTTGTAATGTGGGTTGGTAGCAAATGGCTACAAACAAAATATGGCTTTATTAGCTACTTCTAATGGCCTGTCAGATTCTATACAATGCTTGCTTTCCTTCTCCTAAATGCTCTGATATCTGAAAGGTTTGACCTGGAGGTCTTTAACCATGTGGAGTCACTGAGAGCCCAAATGAAAAGTTGCACAGAATAGTGCTCCGAGCACTTTTGTTGGGGTCACAATTAGAAGGAAATCTCAGGCTTTTGAGAAAACATGGGAGTTAGGTACTCTGTGAAGGAAAGGAAGTAATAAACAGAAACTGTTCTCTCTTAGAGTGGAGGAATAAAGGGGGAGAAGCCTGAATGCAATTGTCTGGAGAACAGCTACTACCGAATATATTTGCTGAGATTTAAGGGATAATAGCCAAATACACATTTCTGCTATTGTGACAAAGATAGAACAGACTTACGGGAAAAACCTTCCAAATGATATATCTGCAAATTTGTTGTTGCAGTAAAGGAGCTTATGTCAGTATAGGCTGTGTGTGTCTGTGAAGACTAATACTTTGTTTTGCCTTTAATGAGTAATTTTGTAAATGTTCTTGTTGGATTGTATTGATAGAACGAAGGGCGGAAAACATGGGTGAATTTAATTTTTTATTGGCATCAGCATGAAAGCAGTTTCAGATAGACATTGTTATTTTTTTTTTGCCATTACTTTGCTTTATTAAGGTCCTTTTTTTGCTCAGCACCAAGCGTGGTTGTTGGAGGCGTGAGGTCAGACGGCCTACCCAAGGTTGCCAGACTTTTGAAACGAGGGTTTCTGCCGATTTCTTCTTGTTGCAACCTGTGGGTGAGGTTCTTGAGCTGCGGTAAGTCCGGGCGGTTGCAGCCCTGCCGTGTGCCCTAGCACCTCCTCCACCCTCACTGCCTAGCTCAGAAATAATCACCCTTCTTATTTCTGGGTTAGTTTTTGACTGAATCACTGTAATTGTGTGAGCATCTGTGGTACCACAGAGGGGGAGATGGGAATGATAGGTACAGAGGGAAAGGGGAGAGTGAGACTGCCATAGCTTTGGTTTTAGCCACGTCCTAGAGGACTGCATGGTCTTCCTGGAGGGGTTTGAGATGCTGTCATCCCGTCAGCTGAGACGTGGTGGCAAAACAGTGCTCTTAGTCCTCCGCACAGCAGTCACCGGGCTCTAAACAGGCAGAGGACGGCTCGATCAGAGTAAGCTGTAGTGAAATCACAGCCTCGGCCTTGTAAGCTAGCTTGGGCATTGTATCGTGGCTCCTGGAGGTGTTGGAGATGGAAGGCTGGATCTGGAGTGGGGGGAACTGCTGCTTTGCCAGGTCACTCAGACGTCAGTGCTCACACGTTAGTTCTGATACCACATTTTCACTGAGTCTTTTCATGGAGGCAGAGCAACCTGTATGTGACACAAAGCAACAGCAAGCATGCTGTTCATATACGTGGAAATGCACGGAAAGGTTTAGGAATCCACACTCCCTGTCTGATGTCCAGAATATGAAGTAGATTGGAAAATTGTCTCCATCAAGAAGAGTTGAAAACAGTTTCCAGTATAGTTGGAGTAACTGTAGTTAAGAGTTAGTAGGAGATGCCTCTTCTTTTCTCAGAGGTTAAACTGCTGGGATGAAGGACTCTGGTGACATTTATACAGGGCTTAGTTCAGTAAGCCCTGATCATGGCTGAGGGTGTGGGCACTACCATGATGTAAACATTAATTACCACTGTAGCCCCTCTGGTAAGGAAAAATGATCATAAAAAGAGAGATAGTACAGCAGCAGTCTCACTTTGCAGACCGTGTCAAGGTAAGCAGAAGTAGAAAACTTGATTAAAATAAAAGTGATATTTTCAAATCCAGGATGTTGTTTCTGGTTTAAGAAAAAAAGAGGGGGAAAATCTGTAAATGGATCCCTGGTAACTCCCGGGAGGTAAAAGCAGTGTGCAGTTGATAGAGCTGTGGTAGCAGTTGTGTCCTGTAGCTCTGTGCTATTTGTGTCTCCATCTGAAAATAACTGGGAGTATGTTAAACCATGAACAAGAAGGAAACACATGTAATACTTGTGAATTAAATTCTCCATTGTTTTTGCACCAAGTAGGATAAGACTGGTGTGCCTCTTTCCTGCTTTCCTTTCTTTTTCTGCAGTGTTGTAAAATAACTGAATGATCTTGTTTTCCTTTGTTTGGGTCAAGAAATTTTAGCTGAAAATTGTTACTCTGTGAAAGAAGATTATTGACTCAACAAGCCTTCAATTTTCAGTGAATAACACTCCCACCCTCTAGCTTCAGGAACATGTGGTGCATGCATTCTATTTTAAAGTACAGACTGTAATTTAAAACTGAGGCAGTTTGATGCCCCACTGAACTTTGTTTAAGCCTGGAATAAAAGGAAAAAAGCCTCAAGTTGCAAAGAAGTGACTAAGCTTTCTCAAATGCTTTTCTTAGCTGTTATGCATGGAGTTGGAAAAAGTTGCTATTTTCTCCAAGTCATTTTAATTCCAGATCAAGCGCGCTTGATCTAGCTTGTTTCTCTTTTCTTGCCGTTCCATGTAACAAACCTGTTGCTAGAATAAGCCTCATGCAATCCGTATGTATAGAAATACAAAGTGTATGCATTTGAGTGTTTCTGAGGTGCAAAACATTGGTGCTGGCGTTCATGCAGGTTCTGGACATGACCTCCTGTGTATGTCCTGGAGTAGGTGTGAACAGTGGGCCGAACTCAGGGCAGCTTCACTGAAATAATATCCGTCATGATATTATAGGAGGGATGAGCTTAGCTTTGTGTGTTTGTGACATTGAAAATCTTGGCCCACACAATGCTCATGCGTTTTTACATTTGACTTCTGTGGGGGCCAGGATTTCATGTAGGTGATCAAACCAATTCCGTCATAGAGTCAGCCTATATATTCATTTTCAAGCCCTATTTTTGGGCAAAAGTACTATCAAGGTAGTGCAGAGCACCCCTGAGCTTGTTGTGTGTGTAGTGGTAAAGTGGAACACTGAAACTAAAATAGTTGATTATTGAATTTAGTAGTCTTGCTATAAAAATTAAGCTTTGTAATGTGAAGAGACAGTCTTGTTGTTAATCATTTGTGTTTTGTGCTTTACGGGATTGCTTGGTTTTGCTTGATAGGATGATCAGATTTATATTAAAAACAGTGCTATGGCTGCTATTGAAGTATGAAAACTAATTTCATTAAGTACTGTAAAAAAAAAAAAAGCTTGGTTATTCCATCAAGTTTTCAGTTCTTAAAACACTCTGCATTTATAATGGTTACATTATCCCTGTAACAACAAGATCACTCATTTAGGATCTAAGAAAATTTAGAAATGCAAAAAGAAATACTTAGCCTGACCTCTACGTGAAACTTACTTGGGAAACCTGATAAGGGATTATAGATCCCAGTAGTGGATAATGTTGCAAAAACTTGTATTTAAATAGGCCAATATTGTCCTAGGTGGAATATTAAAGTATTAGTAGCTTTTTCCTGCAGTGTTTTTTTGAAGCCATTAGGAATTGCCTCGATGTGCTTTTTGCCTCCAAATACCAAGGCAGTATTGATTTTGACTCGAGAATTAAAGAAACCAGATCAAGTCTGGGTGGTTGAAGCCTTTTTCCCTTCCAGCTGTTCCCTCCCCAGAGGCTGCCACCCACAGAGCAGGGCAACTGGCACAACATGGGGGTGAGCTGCAGCCCCCTGCCTTACTGAAACGTGCAGGGCCCGGAGCTGCTGCAGCACAGGCGGCTCTGCATGCACGGCCCAGAGGTACCCGCCTGCTGCACCAGCTGTCCTTTTGGCCTGCCTCAGTTTCCAAGTCGGTCCCTTCAGGTTGTGGATTTGGGAATCTCATTCGAAAATGGCCGGGGCTTTGGATTTCCTGGGGGGTGATTGGTTGTTTTTTGGATTTGTTTTTTTTGTTTTTTTTTGTTTTTAATATTTTGCATACTCTGTGTACACACATATTGTTGTATAAAACGTGCATGCCTCATCTGTTCGGCTATTTGTAAATTTTGAGTTGATAGCATGCTATAAATTCTAAAGCTTAATATAATCACTGGCCCATATTTTTTGTTCATGCCTGTGTGAACTTTGGGATTGCCAAACAGAAAGTAAGACAAAAGAGTATTACTGGAATACCATTTCAGGAAGTACCTGAGACACCGTAATTGTGCCTTTTTTTCCCTTTATTTTTACCGCAAATACTCCTGTAAGATAGGATATTTTCTTCCTCCTAGAATGACTCCTTTACTTGAGCTCACCAGCTGTCCGGAGAGGTGACCTCAGCTTCATAACCTTGACTAAACACAGTGCCTCATTCCGGCCAGCAACATCTGAAGCCTAACAGTAGATGCCTTTTCTTTTTCTTCTGCCATCCGTCCCTGCTTACTTGGAATGAGCTGGCTTCTGGTGCTATTGTTGCAACTCTCCTTTTAAAAACAAAACCGAAAAAAAACATGACTAGGCTTTGATCTGAGGCTCGCTTCTGTGCAAGCAGGTGTGGGTGCATTTACACTCATAGTGTTAAGGTTTCACAGTGCTTTTCTACTGTTGATGGTGTATCCACAATTGCTAGGGATTTGGGTACAGCCACAGTGTAAATGCTAGGTGTTTGTCATGTGCTACTTGTTTTGTAGTACTATGCTGCAATTCCAGTGAAGTCGGCCCTGTAATGTGAGGCCGTTCACATGTTTTGCTTTATTTTTCTGAAGTTTGAAACTATTTTTAAATTTTTTCTCAAATCTGCTTTCTTGAAATCTAATGTCTTCTGTAACGCTTAATTCTCTTCAATTTTCCTTCCTTTGCTGTAGCTGCGTTAGATTCACTATGAAGTCATCCCGTAAAGAAGACTATTCACGATGGCTTTTGTAGTCTATGCGGTGTGCACTGTGGTGCTCTGCAACTTACTGCATCAATTTTTGTTAATGCCATACAGATTACTAGGTGCCATTTCCCCGTAATTCCAAACACAGCTACAGTCCCAAAGGACCGAGGGTCCCCTTTGAATTGGCAATGTCATTTCAGGGGGTGAAACATTGTAACGTGCTGAAATCAAGATAGAGAAGCTGGTAACATCAGGAGAAGGGTAAGGGTACTTTCAGTTCGCAGTGTTTAGGCTTTTGATCTCTTTCCTTCCATGCAAACAATTGCAGATGACCCTTTTAATCATCTCAACCTATGAAATGAGACTTATTGTGCTAAATTAGAACGAGGACCTGAATTTTGATGCACATTTGAATAATTGCATTAGTATAGAAAAATATGTCATTCTGGATCATTTATTTCACATCTTAGTTAAGTGGCATGAATTTATAACTGAACATGTTTTTTTTCACTTCTCAAAAGGGTAGTTCTCTTAACAGTGTGTCTTCCACTATATTATTGAAGCTAACGTTTGGGAAGTAATATAAAGATAAGCATACATGAGATTATGTATTCATATGTTTGCATGTAATAATACATTATGCATCTGTAAGCTTTAGAAAGGTTTGCTGAATACACAGCAGTGGACCTAGTTAAGAGAACAAAGCTTATTTTATGTCATAGCATCGTAAGATGTATGCTCGTGTGTACATCTATATTACTGTAAATGATGAACAGCTTTTGCATAAAAGGTAATGAAAGAGGTTTGAAGCATTCCTGTTTTTTTTATTAAACTGCAAACTTGAGAGTAGCCAGTACTCACTTTCCACAAGTATGGGAATAAAGGAACTGAAAGCGATCTGAGATTTTTAGACTCACTTGTAAAATCAAAATAACTCTGAAAGATTATATAGGTATATAAAGTGGTGTATGGATTAAGTGCACACGTTAGCCCTAGTGAACTTGTACGTTATAGGTTATAGCAATGCCAAGTGTTATCCCTCCATTTTAGACTTTTATAGTGAACTGAAAGCCTTACCATACTGCAATGGAGACTTAAGAAAAACTCCAGATTCTCTTTCCCTTGTTTAATTTACAGACCATGTCAAGATTTTAATAATAGTGCTTAATGAAAACTTTATAAAAGCCTAATTTTTCCCCATCCTCTTTGTTTATTGTATCATTAGATGCCTACATGAAAGTAGGAAAAAAAGTTGTTCAGTGCAATTTTCAGCACAGTTCTTCAGGATTTATTGAAACAGGGCTATAAAATTGTAGGATCTGTTTTGTTTTGTTTTGTTTTGTTTTTTTAATAAGTAAAATCTCATAGTTGTGGCTTCATTTGGATTCTCTCTTAGTCCATTTTCCCTCCATCTTCACTCTTTTCCTTTGTTTTGCTTGTGCCTTTACAGAAGGCTTAGGAAGACTGTATATACACCATACTGGTGTTTTTAAATGACTGCCAATTCTTCCGGTGTGGCTCATTAGACATCTTGTCCTGTTGGAAATCACAGTAACAGCCTTTTTGTTCCTATTCTGAGGTATGACAAAGTACAGATATTTTTTTTTTGGCTCTGGAAGACTTCATCTGCCTCTGGCCAGAGGGCTCTTTGGCGGTCGGACTGCAGCATGGGGTGCGAGGGCCTGTTTAGGCTGCCCATGGAGCAGCCTTGCTCAGCTGCAAAGAGACAGAGGTCACATACCAGATCCCATGAAAGGCACTTCTTACATATACTTACAGACACTTCAGCTCTTTAGTCTTTTGCTGGTTAGATTACAGAAGAACCTGTCCAAAAAAAAAAAAAAAAAAAAAAAAAAGCGAGTAGTGGTTTCTAGTGCCTGCTTTTTAATGCCTGTTTTCACAGCAGTACAGGTCAGATTGAAGTAAATCCTGTGGAACCTTTACCTTATTTTTGCCAGAAAAATGAACTTTCCCCTCCTGTATAATAATGTTGATTGCTTGACCTCCAATTCCATGGAGATGTGGTCAGAGGGCTGTAGTCAGCTAGCCACTCAGGGTGAGAGCTATCTTCTGTCACTTACGGTGTGCAGTGACACTACAGGTTTGAAATGTAATTAAAGCACCTATAGGCTGACACTCTTTTTTTCCTCACCACCCACATCCATGAAAAATGTAATTTGGAAACAAAACATGAAACAGCTATGTGAAGGTTTTTAAAAAAATATTCAGTTAAAAAAAAAAGCAACCCTTCTCTTATATTTAGTCTTTAACTTTGCTAGAAAAGCATTCCTTGTTTAAACTAAGACATTGTGCATAAGCTCTGTGCGTTAGAATTTATCACAGGCTCCAGATTCCTGCATGCTCTAAAATAGATGCCATGGGCTCAGTTTTGTCAGAAGCCGGATTTTGTAGCCCCCGAAGCTTGTGCATTCGTGATTAGCCAAGGGCAGATCGGGCTGCTTAATGCGTCCCACCAGCTCCGTCTGGGTTTGCTGGCTGGGTTCAAGCACCCGTCCCAGCCTCACCAGGGTGGGTGACCAGACCTAGCAGCAAGTGCTGCCCCTTGCTGCACCGTGGATGGGGAGAGCACGGTTCGGTGCCACGAAGGGCTGTGCATGGCTGCTCCTGTGGTGAAAAGGAGCCAGCAGCGTGCTGCCTGCTGTGGCACCCGGGACCTAGGGGGCTTTGAACGCTGCGGGGAGGGAAGCAGAGCCATGCTCCCCTGTGAGGCCTGGGCCAAGCAGGCCGATGAGAACATTTTGGGGCCATTTTTGCTCGGATCTGCACGTCTGAAAGCCTTCTCCTTCCCTGCGAAGGTTTTTCTCCACCGAATCCATCTTGCGCGTCACCCGGCTCTTTGAATCCAGCACGACCCGGAGTGGCAGCCCTCTCCCCACGCTGCGTCCCCACTACACTCTCAACCCGGAGCCCGGCGGCCCGGTCCCCCCTCTTCTCCCCGGGGCTGCCCCGTGCCGGCGGACATGGCGGCGCCGCCTTTGAAGCCGGGCGCTCCGGCGGCGTTGCCAGGGCGACCGGGCGGGCAATGGCCTCCGGCACCCCGCGCCCGGCCCGGCCCGGCCCGGCGGCTGAGGGGCTGAGGGGATAGGGCGCAGTTCGCTCTCCCAGCCTCGCGCTGGTAAATGCAGAGGCTTTTCGCTTTTTTGTTGTTCTTCTCTCCCCTCCTTCGGTTTATGCATTATTAACAGCCGCTTTCCTGTTTTGCTTGTAACGTTTTATGGGCTTTTTTTCAAACACGTAGTCAGATTTGCTCGGTTGCTCCTCTGTTCGCCGGGACTTAACCCCTTCTCTCCTTCATCTTCACAAACTCGCAGGGAGGCCTCAAACGCTTCCGACTGCTCCCATTTAAAATGTTAAAAACTGGAAAAGGATTTTTTAAACTATTTTTTTTTGAAGTGTTCTGGAAAGCAGCACAGATTGCTCAGCTTCTGGCGTTTCACTGAAGTCAGCACGCGTGAGCCTCGCTGCAGCTGCGAGGGGTTCAAACCAAGCAAGTATTTTGGCTGGGCGCTGTAATGGCTGTGCCCGTTTCATCCCCTCTCCGTGGCGTTACCCCCTTCTCTGCATATGCAGAGTTTTGTTAGCAGCCTTCAGAAGAGAAGCACCTCGTGGCTGAAAAATTGGAACCAAAAACCCCAGAACAATTCCAGGGATGTGCTGTTTACCCCCATCACCTTCCTCTTTAACACTGAGCTGGCAAAGTGCATTTAGATAGGTAGAAATATTACAAACACAAGCTGCAGGCTTTGTTTTGCTTTTCCAGAGCTCTAAAATATAGCTTTCATTTTAGTCTCTAGTAGGAGGCATATATCCAAGGGCTGTCAAATGCTGTGGATACAGGGATTCAGTTGTCCCTGCAGACACAGTCCCTGTACAAAAACTTGGAGGCTAACAAGCAAGCCTAGCATTCATAATTCCCCCTAGCGCCCTCATTTTTAGGTTCTGGGTGTGGGATTGTGTATTTGTTATTACAAGGAGGTACTTACCGGCACCTAGAGGACCTTGCTTTGTCCGTCTGAATCTAGCCCAGATCCTGCTTCCCCAGATACTTCAAAACACATCTCAGGAAAAAAACAGATGTTCCTCAATTTTTGTCTCTTTTTTATTTTTCCAACAACGTGTAGTGATGTTGATATGAACAATACTTCCATCTTCAACGCTCGGTGTCTCAAAGCACTGCATTTGTTTTTTCATGTAGCTCTTTTGTGTGAAGCCAACACGCACCCTCAGTGCTGGTTGGAACAACTCAAGTAAATCCATTCCCTACCTCAGGGAGGCCCTGGGATAGATGGACGATGGAGAGTCCCCCTAGCTCCTTGGCCACCTGAGGCCAGCACAAAGCCCATCTCTACTCTTGGCCTACAGCAGCTGTGGGCTGTGTCACAGCCTAGCCTGGAGTCAGTGTTTTGTAGTGTTGTAGAACATGGCAATAATGTGGTTTTAAAAGTTTTTTTTTTTTTTTTTAATGTATACTTTTTAAAGCATGTTTAATCTACTCTGCGTGGATATTGTACTGTACAGCTGAATATATTAAATAGGCCGGACTGGAGGTTTACTCTCATCTCCTGGCATTATGGATATGAATTTCATCCTTTGAGTTGCATTCCCCTTGAATGTGCAAATTTTGGGAAAATTAGAGAAAACAGTTTACATTCCATTAATAAGAAATTACTAATTGCTTATAAAACAGGCATATCTTTATCTGCACAGAGCTTTTCAAAGTTGCTGTTTAATCTTTTTTCTTTTTTAATCACTAAACAAACATGTCTCAGCAGTCGCTGCATGTGAAACCAAAACCTGGACGTGGACAAAAAGCAAACATCCTACACTAATTTTCATTAGCATATCCTATCTCCTAGAACATTTATTTTTTCATCTCCTTGTAAATTGATTTTTCACATGCTTGTGACTGATATTTGAACTGTGTGTTTGTAGTAACTGACTTCTATAAAAGCTAGGTCCTGGATCTCCCAACATGAATATATTATGGAGGTGACCTAGTGGGCCTATAGTTAAGGTTGCATGGAGTTTTCACTTAAAACAATGTTTAAATCCCTTAATTAAACATTAAAACTTGCGCAAATTCTCAAACATGGACTGTTTCAATAAAGAGGATAAACTTTAATTATTTAGGTACTCAATGTTCTTCTTAGTGCTGTATTTGCAGAATTCAGAGCAACTTAAAATTATGCCTTCCTCAGATTTTTTCAGAGTTCCTAGTATTTTCAGTTTCTTCATTTTTTTAAATCTTTTGTCTAAGACATTCATTGATGCAAGTTTTCATATCCTTGCTGGCTTCATAGAACCATAAAAATGTACAGAAAATGTTTTAACAAAAAGCAGTTCGGTTTTATTTATAATAATGCACAATACAGAAGAGCGTATAGAAGATACAAGTTGAGAACAGTATACTGGTTATTTGTAGCTAATACTAGTCTTTTACACCAGTGATTTGGAATCAAAAGAACAGACTGGAGAGTCTATTAAAAAGAGAAGTACCACATGGAAGCAAAATCCAGATCTGTGCCTAAAAACTAGTAGCATCTTTTCTGTGCAGAGGATTGTTTCCAAATCAGTCAATTAACACCAACTGCAGTAGTCCCAAACTGGTGTAAACTCCCCTTTGCTTTCCTCTATCTACTTATGCCTTGAGGGCCCGGTTCAAACTTTGCTGAAATCAGTCTTTCACTGATTTCCATAAGTTTTGGATTAGGCCAATTAATTCTTATGTTCATTCTGTCCAGTTGTCACCCTGCTCCTCTGCATTAACAGATGTTTCGAGCCTTTTTCTTTGGACAGGGTCTGTAAACCTACCGTTTCCATCTGTGCCTGCTGTACCTGTAGTGATCAGCGAGCACGGTTCCCATTGTTAACACTTGCAGCCTTCTGGCTGAGCTATAATCACATTCTTCAGCACAGGCGGAAGTCCTGCTGAAAACAGTGTATTTGCAAACAGTTCATAAATGAAGAAAAATTCCTTTAGAAACCAGTATTACACGTGTAAGTAGTGTCTGTATCCAGACTCCTTAGCCTCCAGCAATTCCTCTAACTAGCTGGAAATACAGACAAAATGGCCAGGAAAAAAAAAAAAATTCCTCAGTAGCTTACAGTGTGTGGAAAATTTTTCATTTAAGTCTTTTAGGCCAGGATGTGTTTTCCCATCGTTTCCAGCTGACTGCCACTGTGGTCACGTATGCTTGTTAGTTCATGTCTCCTGTCCATTGAAACACTGCAGCAAATACAGTCTGCAAAAATGCTTACATGAGAAAATGTCGTTTCAGAGTATGCTAGTTCTGGAATTTTGGAAAATGCAAGTGCTATGGCCTGTGATTTCACACCAATACCATAAAAATTAAAAGTTACTTATTAGTTTGAAGAATTGCTTATTACTCAGGCATTGGATGAGGAGAGAAATCCACAGGAAGTTCTTGTTACCTCCACCATATGAGTAGGTTCTCAAGCTCTTCCAGAGTAGGGATTGAAATGTTGGAAGTGAAAAGGGCCTGTTGCAAGCTTCACATGGAGAAAAGTAAGTGAAACAAGCTGGTGATGGTCATGCTTTTAACTGACTCTGCTGTGTGTGAGCAGACTGAAGCAACGCGTGGCAGGGAAGAATACATGAGAGAGCACCTGGGAGTGGAATAATGCAGAGTCAAACGTTTAAGGGTTAGAATCTTTGGCAGTATCACCATTTTTTTATATATTTTTTTTTTGGGGGGGGGAGGGGGGCTGTTAGGCTGTGCAAATTCTCTTCATTCTTTTTGTGTGTGTGTGTGTGTGTTTGAAAAATAGGTCCAAACACACTGTATACGTTGTGACAGTAAGGGGTTAAAGAGATGTCATTATGCATTCTTCAGTAAGTGCTCTGCAGTCAGCAGTACAGAGCAAGGATTTTATAGAAGCTTAAAAAAAAAAAAAAAAAAAAAAAAGGAAAAGAAAAGAGATGACGGAGGGAGAATATGGAGAGAAGGTCAGATCCAAGGATTCTCCTAGGGTTTTCTCATGTTTGCTCTTCCTTTGTGGCTCGTTATGCTCTCTCCTGGTAGAAACAGAAGAAAGCATCATGGCCTGTTGGTTCCTCCTACTGATAATGTACATTTGATCTTTTTGCTTTGTGGTAGTGGTGAATTTATGGATTTAGTTCCTGAAGGAGTTCTGAGCCATCCTAGTGCCTGCCACGGTCCTTGTATATTCCCCAGCTCTTTTTTATTACAAGAAGTGCATTGCAGCCCTGTGAACACCGAACATTTCAACAAACACCCTTTTTCAGCTGCGGTTTACCCGTTTTGTTTGAGAGGATTTGAATTTCCAGCAAACCCATCTACTGGGAACAGTTTGTTTTGGACTGTTTGGGAGTGATTCGGCTGGATGAGTGGAAGTTCTTGCACTCAGTATTTCAGACCGACCTGGCTGGTAAAGGTAAGCTTTCATTACTGATGACTTAGCTTTTGAGGTTCCAAGGGAAAAAGTAATTTATTTTTTTTCCCCTGCATTCCATGATTGTCCTTTTGTTCTTCCAGGTTGTGGGTTGTTCTGGAACGGCTGCAGTAGCAAAGCAGAGCAGCACTCAGAACGGGCAGGACGCTGGGGACGCGGGTCATCCCGCACTTCCATCCTGGGAGCTAGCCCGAGCTCTGACTTGCTGAGTCATTCAGTGTACCAGATCCTTCTTTTTTATTGAACCAATTTGATTTGCAGTTGGATTTCAACATAACAGCAAAGCCTTTCTGGGAGATATTTGTGTGTTCAGTAACACAGTAGTCTGAAAAACTGTTTTGTTTTTTTTTTTTTTTTTTTTGCTTTCTCTTTCATTTGATAGAATTTTCTTCCTTTTTTTTTTTTTTTTTCTTGCGTACTTTCCCTGTTTAGTTTTTATGGGAAAGAACTGCAAACAATTAAGTGAATAGGATTTCCCTTGCCTCATTCTTTCCTGGAGAAAAAAAAAAAAGAAAATCCCGACACCTCTCCCCTCCCCCCAACAGCTCTTCTTTTGGGTTAAGGATCCTTAGACTTGCCATTGACCTTATCAGGACGGGCTCTTGCAATCTCTCCTGTGAGAGGGCAGGGAGAGTTTGCAAGTTTACATAGTGGTGCAGAGTGCCTGGCAGTAAGAGCTGCTGGGTTAAGTTAGTTAATTGCAAGGGTCTTCTGAAACGCAGCGTTAGCAAACAGTCTCTACCCCTAAGGACAACGGAAACTTTTCCTCCCACCCTTGTTAAATGCCGGTTTAAAGCTATTGATTTCTTTCCCCTAGAAAAATAAAAGTTAACTCCCATCATGCTTCTCCTCTCCTTCTCTCTCTTTTAACTTTCTTATTTTTTTCTCTTCTGTCTTTATCATTTTAACGCTGGAAAATTCTGAAAGGATTGCTGCGAGGAGGAAGGATAGCCTGATAAGTGTATTTCCTAAAGCTTTTGGCCTTTCAAGGTTTCTCTTATGGGTAAGGTTGAACTGTGCCTACATCTTGGATTGAGACGACAGGGGAGTAGTGTGTAATACTTTCTGCTTCCGATAGCTCTTTGTTGATCTAAGAGAGAGCACTTAGAGAGTGGTAGGTCATTTATGTGATTATGAAGAGCACTTGGTTCTCTCTTATTCAAGATGGAAAAATAATAGTTTTTGAATAAGAGGTCGCTGTCAAGATGACATTGAATGTGACTTCTCTTCCCTCTTCATTCCCTCCCCCACTAAAAGAAAAGCAGCGATGCTACTACTCAGGATAGGGCTACATTTTTCCAACTGCACGTGTCTTTTTCTTTTCTTCTCTTCTTTGTTCATTTTATTCCTTGCCGTTTCCTCTGCGTATAATGTTTATACTCTCTGATGGTGTCTAGGTATTTATGGTAACCAGAAATTTAAAAATAAATGTAATGCATGTAAGGTTTTGTGTTGTTTTAAGTGTTGTTTTTCAACTTGCAAAATTAAGCTGTGAATGTGTGATGTGGTATCTGCTTGGGTGACAGATGTCCATTCCTGAATGATGCTGTGTTCCCTTTGTGCTTTATTTATGGAGTGATTTGCTTCTAAAATAATCTCTTAATCTTTTCCAAACTACATTTCTGTATATGCTCTTTTCACATATGCCATCATTTAGGGTAACAGGCTAAAAACTGAAATTACTCCTAAATGCTTCATTTCTAAAGCTAATAATAGTGATATAACAGTGTCATTTTTGGCTTGATGTGTCCTTTTAGAAGTAGGTTAAGTGTGTAGTTTGTTTTGGCTTTGGTGTTTTCTGTGCATTTGTTTGCTGTAGCACTGCCATAATGAAATTGTATTTTAATTTCATTCATTTACCAAATGAAAAGACAACACTAATTTGTCTTTTTTTCATGTTAGGTTAGCTTTAATACCTCAGAAAAGGAGCTGTAACCCCAAATTAGGATGAAATTGCCCAGAGTACAGAACAAAATAGATGTTTTATGAAACTGATTAACAGTTACTCTAGGGTTCATTTGCTTAAGCAGGTGTTGAACATCTGTCAATGCTCTGTTTCATCACAGATTTACTTTTAGTAAACTTCATGGTTTAAACTTGGAGAAGGGCAGGTCAGCGGAATATGTGTATTTGTAGTTCCTTACAGCGGTAAAGACTTTTTAAGATTTTCTTATTTGCACTCTAAAATCAAATCTCTATGAAGCATGTTAAGATTTTCACATGTTTATCTGTTGACACATTGAAAAGAACTCACTTGTACTTTTGAAATAGTGTTTTTTTGGAAAACCAAAGCAATTTTGGAGTTGGTTGGTTGAAAGACAGCGCTAGATCCTTTGCTTAGGTTTTCTTCACTCCTAAACTACAAATTTTGTACAGTATATTTTTGAAAAACTATGGGTATTAGAAATGAAATACAATTTAAATTTCTTATCAAGACATCAAAGTTAAATAGGAAGTGTTGAAAACTGTCATGATTATTAGTCAACCATCAGAAAAAGACAGAAAATTGGTTACAAGCCTGAGAAGGAAGGAAGAGTGATGCCATTGGTCTTGGGTTAGCAGGCTGTAGGAACTTCTGTCAGCTGGACCTGGCCTCCCATAGGCAGTAATTTCACTTAAGTTCAGTCAGAGATTTAGGATTTTTTTTTGGACAGTAGTAGTTAATGTTTTCTTTCCTACCTATGAAACCTCAGGAGTAGCTGTGGGTACAGCTGGCTGGTATCGAGCTGTCAGCACCGACCAGGGCAGTCGTGCTGGCTGCCGCACATCGCTTCTTACTGGGGCGCTGGCCGTGCTTGACCTGTGAAGCTAGCAAGAGCTGCCTTGCTCACAGTTTTTGGGGGAAATCCACTCAGTTCCTTTAGGATGTTCCTTCCCAGAAACATGCTGCTGACAGGGCAATGTCAGCAGCAGCTGGAGCCGTTTGGTCCCTCTGGTGTCGGGGTGGGACTGGACGAACGTTTCGCTCCTGTCAGAGTAGGCCTTTGAGGAGGTTCTCCCTGTTGTGCCCGTGCTTCAATTCACATCACCCCGCAGGCACAGAGCGAGCTGGATTCCTTCTGGATGAAATGAAACTGCGAAAATGTGCCCCAGGAGCCCACCCAGTGGGCTGTGGGTGCTCGGTGCCAGGGCCAGCCCCAAGCAGGGCACTGGTGCCGGCATGGCCTTCCCTCTGCGCTGCCTCTCAGCGCTTCACCTCGCGTCCGGAGCCAGCGGCCTTTGAAGTCTTTGAGTGACTTCCATTGGCTTTAATAGGCTTTGTGGCAGGCCCTAATGATTTGGTTGTGATCTGAAAAGGGATGTGCAGGGGCTTTCATATAATGAGAAAATGTTACCTTTTAAAGAGCCGGGTTCAAACAGGCTGATGATCAGTTCTCGAGTGGAAGTGAGCTCCTTGCTGTCTCCTGGAATCCTTTTGTCCCTATCAAAAAAATAAAAAACTCAGAAAATTAGTACTCATTTTGCAAGTACGGTCTGGGGTTGAAATTAGCAGAGGAGTTTTAGGTCATGGATTGAACTGCACTGACAAGCAGTGGAGAGGTTTGCACAGTACAACTCTGCGCCTCTCAAAATTGCACGGTGAGCCCCTCGTTCTCGTGAGCGGTCCCTTTGTTCACGGTTTTGAAGTGAAAAGGCAGGAGAGAGGAAGGAAAAACCAAGCTTAGTTCACTCGTACTAACATTGCTCTGGGATAAGTAGTGCCTAGGACTAAAAATCATGGCTAACTAAAAATCACAAGTTTGTTTTTAAAGGAGAAGGTGGAACAGAGGCCATTTCACTGTCCTACTAATTGCATAACAAGACTACCAGTTCTTTCTATGTCCCTGGGTCTCATAGGTTCCCCTCTAAGTTTTCTCTCTTTTCCAGAAATGTTGCTCAAATAATTTTGTGTAATTACTTTTTTTTTTTTTTTTCTCATGTAAGGTATTCTGTTTGATCAGTATCCAGAAAAGCTTTCTTTTCAGCATCCTCAGAATCCTTTCATGTGAGCTGGGAAATCAATTTATGGCTCTAACAAATTAATGTGGACAGCTTGGATCTGTTGAACTTCTGCTTCTTCGTTTACTGTATTATTTTGTGTACTAAATCTGTCTTCCCTAAATTAAAAGATTGGTGTTTTTTTTTTCCTTTCCAAAACAGGTGTGTACTGTAATAATCATGTTCAAACAATCTAGTAATAAATGGCCAGGAACAAAGCATAGCTCCATTTCATCACTGGATGCAGGGATCTAGTAGAATCTGTATTTACAATTACATGCAATAGCATGTGTCTTCCTATAATGGTTCATCTTAATATTTTTATTTGTACATGTTTTGAGGCATGGAAGAGTTCCTCTGAATGTGCAGTGGGACTGATTTATCGCAGTGATCGTCCTTGTTTTACATCTGTGTAATTACTTTGAAGTCACTGAACTTACGCCGATACAAAATCGCAGGAGCAGTGAATTAGGGTGGCTCTTTTGATGGAGCTTTTTATTCTGGTTGAAATATTTTACGGATCCAGGTGAGGATGAAATGTTGTACTGAGCTGCGAGCTGTTTTCCTGATTGGGTTCATGCTGCTTATCTGTCAGTACTTCCCCTTCTTAGAAGCTGTATTTAATGCGGTTGTTTCTGCTTGCCTTGGAAATGCAAAGGAGAGTTAGTTGTTTGTATGAGAGGAGAGTTAAATCAAAATCCCTTGGTTTCTAGTGCTGGCTGTAGCTGAACAAGGTGGTTCTGTGCTGTATTTTTGGTAGAAGCATTATTCTGTCCTTCATCTTCAAGTACAACGGTGAGCTAGCTTCAATAAAATAAAAAGGCAGAGACCTTCTTTAGACTCCTCTCATTTTTCCCGTGTGCTCAAAGCCATGAATTAGCTTGCTAAAAGGAAAGCATGGGGGCAGCATTATCAGAAGGCGGAGGGTGTTGGTGGCGTTCAGAACCAATAAATGCAATGCGTGTGCAGGACATGGGGCGTTGGAGCCTTCATTAGCTGGTCGCAGCGCTCCTCTCACCTCTGAGCTGCAGACCTTGGCGCTGAGGGTCACAGGCCAGCCGAGAGCTCGGGCTAAGCCAGCCCTGCTGCCCGCACCTTCCCTTCCCTTCCCTGCCTTCCCGAGCCCTTCTGCCAGAGGAAGCAGCCCCCATCCTTCACCCAGGCCCGGGCAGTGCTGCTGGGGGCTGGGGTTCAGCGCTGCGGTGGTCCCGGCCGCTGAGGTGGCTGCCCCCCTGCCCATCGGGCTGGGGACGGCAGGTGCTGAGCCTCATTGGGAGAATTTATTGTTAGCTGTTGCTGATGCTTTAGAGACCACTCTGCTTACCCGCCTAATAGCCAAATGCGAGCTAATAGTCTGTACAGGCCATTGAAGCCTAAAATCCTGCTAATTCCTTCCTCTAATGAATAATCCCTGATCTCTGTATGTGCCTTGACTGCAGAAGGGCTAATTATGAAATTCATTGTAAGGAAAATTTAGAACTCGTGATTTCTGTGACTGGGGTTTATAAATAAATAATGCGTCTGCGTGTGTATGGTGTACACAGTACAGCTTTTGCATGGAAAGTTAAATATCCCTGAAGATATTTAGTTAAAATAAGTGGGACTGTAAAGCACTTCATTGCTCGTTGGATTAATCGCTCACAGTTTAGGGAATGGGCTGCCCATTCCACCCAGAAATGTCACTCGTAACCCTGAGCAGAGACATTGGACCTTCTGCTGTTGGTTTTGTGTAAATAGCTCGGGTGAACGAAGCTGTTCCCCGCTGCAGGTGAGTAGGTGGCATTCGGAGCGGGGCGTGAGGAGCCCCTGAGCTGGTTTCTGGAGACGCTGTTGCCCTTCCGTGCAGACTATTCAGAGCACATGTTTCTGTGGCACGTCCAGAAGTGTAAGAGGATGGTAAATCTGGTTCTTTGGGTTTAAGGAATGCTTCTAAGAAACAATTCTAGTGATTCTTTTCATTTGAGTGTTAGAAACGGGAGGAAAATATCTAAGCAACCGAAGTATTGGGGTAGAGATGTTGCATAAATTATAATGAGCACCAGAGGACACAGGATGTGTTCGTTCCCAAGCTGCATGATTATTTCGTGTTGTGAAGGGTTAGCTTTTCAATTGCAAAGCTTAATCACTTTTCAAATGAATATTTCATAACAGTTATTTTTTCATCAAATACACAACGACATGCTTATTTTGTGCCTCATGTGGTAGACATTAGTTTTCAGCAGCTTTAAATTCCTTTTATTTCCCCTCATCTCTTATTCTTGTTTTCAGCGGTGGATGGGCAAGAAAATATTCTTGAACATGTCCTGACGAGTGGCTAACAGATAGGAAGAGCCCAGAAGTTTTACGACTCATAATCACAAATTCTTAAAAAATTCTAATGTCATTGGTGCTGAGTGCAGCTTACATGACTGATTTAAGATATTTTAAATGTAATCTAAAATGAAAACACAACTGTTGGAGACCTCTGCCTCTACTAGAAAATGCTGTTTAGTGGTACAGCACAGCTGTAGTACTCATTACTTTTTGTTCCTGGATGATTAAAGTTATCATAAAAAGACAAGAGGCTGATTATCCTCAGTACAGCTTCTTCTTGCTGGAAGAGTTGTGCAAGGGGGACTCTGTATGGTTAATATATACATCTATACTGATCTGTGTATCTGTATATAGGTATTTGAGAATTGCCCTGGCTTAGGGTGAAATTTGGATAGTAAAGTGGTGATGTGCTTGCTGTACTACACATCCTTTAGACCCAGAGTTGGGGGAGTTTCTGCAGCACTGCTGTATTGTCTAGTGGCTCCTTTCTAGATCTCTCGAGTGCTTTGGCAGATAGATGAAAATTAAATCAGCTTGGAGGTTTGGAATTATACTAATGGGCCAAACTGGCTTGAAAATAGGAGAAATGCAAAGCTGACCTTAAGGCACCCTCGCTGCTTTTTCTGTTCTTGTATTCAAGAATTTTTTGGTACTCACCTGTCCAGCCTGTTGTTCAAAATTAAAATGCAATTTTCTTTGAAGTATGCAATAAAAGAAATATTTATAAAAATATCAAGTGTTGTTTTGACTAGACAGAACTTACTCTTTTCGTCTAGCTATTTTGTTCCCATACCTGAGAGTGTATTTCATTGTGTACTTTGAAGCATACAAAATACAGTATTTCTCATTTTTCCTTCAAAACAGAATATATCAGTCTCATTTTATCATTTATATAAGAGACAAGTCTGGAATTGAGAGTAGTGCAATGTGTTGCATCTGCACCCATGCATACTAAAACCCGCGGTCTGAGTGAAGACTGAAGTCCTCACAGCTATTGATGCTCTTTCTGGAAGGACTATTTCAGTGGATTTTCTAGCCACGTTCTGGTCTATATGGAGCAATTGTTTGGAATTTCAGCACATTCAAGTCTTGGATGGTCTGTTTCATGGCAGTTATGTCAGGGTTGTCTGTCCCATATTCCCTAGAGTTCTTCCTCTTTTCCTTTCACACGTAGCTTATTTGCCACGATGGCCTATGTTATTTTCTTCAGTCCAGTACAGGACCCGCAAGCTCCTCATGACACCATCGCTCTTGTCCTGTGTTCCTGCACGTGCGAGGCACTTCCTTCTGTCTTTTGTCCACGTAGTCAAAGTTGACTGTGGGACCACATTAAAAAGCAGTCTTTTTTTTTTTTACGTTCAGTTCTCAGTTAATACAGAAACCTTTGAAAAAATGGATACTTCTTGATTGGTTATTTTTGAAACTGTGGTTGTCTATATTATTAAACATTTTCTGTGCGTGAAATAAATACCTTCTAGATGTCTCAGACACGAATACTCTTCCAGCCAAGTACATAACTATCTGATAAAGGCATACTGGATCTTTCAACTGTGTACTATGTGGTTAGTAGACATAAGCCACAAGTACGTAACGTACCATTCCTGTATGTTGTCACACTAATAATTCAGGTTTCTTTAGAATTTCAGGTTCTTTAGCGCATAAAACAACCTGTAAAAATAGCTGCCTTGCTGCTAGGAATTGGATGGTGTTGGGCTGTTGTCGTGAGTGCTCCGATGCTGTAAACAAAGTAGATGTTAATCCATGTGACCTAAGAGGGAGGGAGCTGACCTGAAAGCACTAGTGAATTTCTCCTCACAACAGTCCTGGGAGGTAGGAAGTAATATTATTGCTATCCCTGCTGAGTATCTGTGGCACGGAAAGATTGATTGATTTGCCCGAGGTCGGGGAGGAAGTCAGAGGCAGAGGTGGGATTGCATCCAGACACATTCTGCATCCCGTCAGATGCCTTCATCACACACCCCTAACCAACCCTTCCCCACTCATGATTTTGCTTGTTTGGCAAGGTGCCCTCATGGTGGTGTCTCTGAAAGCCTTACTCTGCCTTGCTACCCAGTGTGTGCTTTGTCCAGAAAAAAAAGAAAAAAAAAAAAGGATTTTTAGGGACCTCAGGTTTAAGTGCTGTCTGTTCTTTCATATCTATTAATTGTAAAATCACAGGTCATTGTGCTTTGTTTCATTGAGTAAATCAGACTGCTGAAAATGCAGTGTGAGCAAAATAGGTATTTTTTTTTCTTTAATTAATATATTTTTCCCCCCGATGTTTTTGTGGGAGAGAATTCATCATAATAAATGATTAAACTGTCAAAAGAATATTAGCTGCCAGTGGCCGGCTGATCCATTATGTGCCTTCGTGTGCTGGGAGTCACTGCGCTGCACGGCGAGCCGGAGATGCGGCTGTCCGAGGGGAGCGCCACGGTGACCATTAGCAGCTGATTAAAAGGGAAGCGTATGCAGCGAGGAGCCGCTCATAAATTACGTCGTTCCAGCTGGAGTTTAGCCGTGCAACGGGGCCGCCGGCATCCTTATTTGTCCATTTGGCATCTGAAAACGTGCGTGCAGCGGGAAGCGCCGGGTAATATTCTGCATGCGCCCCTGCCCAGTACGTGCGCCGCGTTCACGTCCCTCGATGGGCCCGCTGAGACGAGGCCACGCGGAGCAGCCGGCAGTGCGAGCCCACGCCTTGGCTCGCCCCCGAGGCGTAGCTAACTGTTCCTGGGCCGTACCAGAGGTTTGGTCTTTCCTGTCCAGGCACTGAATGATTTGGCCACGGGGAAATCTGCATGAAGGCTTTGCAGCTCGTGGTCAAAGTGGATTTTCAATCGCTAGCCCAAGGCGTGCGCTTAATATACGGAGCGCCTTGATGTGGTGCCCTGCTTTGCCACAGACACTTTTGAACCTCAAAGAAATCTCCTAACGCTATAGATGTTCGAGAACAATAATGTTGAATGATTTTTTTTTCTTCCTTCATTCAGTATTTATATTCAGTCTCCCTTTACACGAAAAAGAAAGTACTGAAAAGTTACATGAAGTGAATTCCAGTCAAAGGTGTTTAACGTATGTGAAGGAAATGAAGCTTAGATTTCAAGCAGTGATCAATGAAGTATAGTATTGTGTGATCATTACCGAGCAATAAAGCAGGGAAGGAATTATCACAAGGATGTATGTGCCATTCATCATACCTTTTTAATACCTCTTTTTCTTGCTTGCTTTCTTTTTATTGTCTCCTCTGTTTTATATTCTTTGATCCTATATTTGGTACCAAGTTCCCTCCTCCTTTCTGACTCTTTCACCTACTGTTACACAATGCCAGCTTACAACGGTACTTCAGGGGGAGAAAGTCTGTATAGTACATGCTTTAAAACTTCGGATGGAATTAAAAAAACCTTCTGCTTCGGGTTTTGCAAATATTATGAGAAATACTGCTGTGCTGTCTTTATTCCGTGTGCCGTAAGAAACGTGGTGTCTTTGCTGAAAAACAAATGTACTGAAAAATAGAATAAAATGTCAGCATCGTGTTTTTGTTCTAGATTTGCTGTGAAAACTTACATAGAGCCAAAACACTCTGTACCGTATTTGCTAAGGTAGGACAATGGAGGGAGGCATCTGGGTTTCTTTAATTCCATTTTCTGGTTTTTCCACTGCAATTCTTTGTGTCCTCTTTGGTGACCAAGATCGCTGAGGTTTTTTGCTGTGTATCATATGAAAGTAATTAGCTTACCCATGAGTTGTGTATGTAGCAAGGCTTGAGAGCCTGAGATGAAAGGAACGATGCTATAAATGTGCTCTTACGGCCTCTCAGGCCTGCGTTCTCCCCTGGATTTATTTTGGCACGCTTTGCTCAGATCTGCTGCAGGTATTGTCCAGAGAAACTGGACATCAGTCAGTATCCTGGCAGTCCTTCTGCAGAGGCAGTGGGGCAAATCATCATCCATTTAGGGCTTGCGGCATAATCTTAAGCAATGCCTACTGTAATGTAAATGACTCGAGTTTGTTTGACAATGAGCAAATGCACAGCCCTGTTCTCAGAAGGAAGGGTGACTCAGCCATATTCCTGAATTGATGTATCAGACTTCAGTGACATCTCACAATTTGACAGCAGGCCTATTAAGGAGAAAAATAGTAATTTCTCATTCCTGGGATAAATTAGTAGTTAGTATTATACCCTGAAAGTTTTTTCTTCTGGTAAATAACATTTAAAAGATATTTACAGCATCATTTCAAATGAACAGAACTTGGAGGAATCTGTCTCGAAATGTTCTTAATTAAGATGCTAAGAAATTTATCTCGGTGCACTGTGCAGATATTCATCAGTGTAGGTGGAAAATGGGAACATACGTGATTAGTGATAGTATTTTACCTTTAAACATCGAAAACTGCTTAAAACGAAACAGTATTAAATCCCTTGTCACTCCCAAACAATGTACCACACCATTTTGACTCTCTAATTACCAAGCCTAATTTGTTAATTTCAAAGGGGAACACAGCAACCTATAAAGGCTCACAGTACTCTTTTGAAAAGAGCAATGTGATATAATTAAAATGATCAAGTGGATCTAATTCTGTTTGGGGGGGGGAGATGTCTTCCCTCGTAAGGTTACTTCAAATTGAATTGGAGTTGGCATATATAGCCTTTAATGAGGTAACATCCCCAGATAAAACATCTGACTTGCTGTTTATTTTAGTCTACATTTATTTGCAGGCTTTTATAGTAGGAGAGCTCTGGCTAATGGTCCGACCAACATGAGTGCTGCTTCCAGCTTAGCAATTGGCCTGCTGCGTGGCTTGGGAGAGCACCGCGCTCCCCATGGGCAGATTGGTTTATGCGTGCTCCTGATGCATCCATCACGGTGACAATTACGCTCAAGAAACAGCAAAATGCTGAAGGGATGCTCCTGGTGGCCCTTCTTGTGGTGGTGAAAGCACAGGACAGGACATGTCCTTCCCCTGGTTGCCTTCACTGAGTTGCTGCCTCGTAACTGAAGTCAAGCTTTGGCCAGAATTTTCTTAGTAAATATTTTTCAACTGTATTTTTCCAGGCTAATGTAGATTTGATTTGCCGATGGGCATCCAGCTTACAAAATGCTGCTGTTCGTTTAGGGGTGACAATACCTGGCTGGGGGTGGCACGTTGGTTTGATCATTTGCTGGTTTAGTCATGTGTTTGCCCCCCTTCCCCCAATTTGATTTTATGAGTAAACATCTTTCAGGGCTTCAAACTCCTGTGAATATAGTTCTGTCTGTTGTATGCTCAAAAAGATAAATACATAATCTGGATAACTCCATAATCAAAACACTTGATTGACTACAGTAGGAGGTTTCTTGTTTTGTTTTAACTCTTCTGGGTGTTTTATCTTATAAAGCCCTGTAATAATAAAGCCATATGAATCCTCAGCTTATTATTCATTTTCCTTAGTGTGTCACAAAGGAGGCATTACAGAGCCGTGCGTTTTAAAATAAAACAATGGGTGAAAAGAATGAAGTTTCTCTCGCAAGGAGCCTTTATGATCAGCGTACGTGGCAGGCTGGCGGGGAGCAGGAGGGCTGGGGCTGGGGGCCGAAACGCAGCCTCCCTTTTGTTCCTGGGCAGACCTTTACGCTCGCTCGCACACACACAGACACCCTTTTGGCCCATCTCCTGGAGGAGCGGGGAGGCTGTAATTAATAGAGATCCGAGTCCCGAGGAGGCAGGAGCGAGTGCCTGACAGGTGCTTGCCTCTCTAGCTCAGCGGTGGTTTTGTACGGGAAGGCAGCGCTAATGCTGCAACCAGTTGGCATCACCTGGGAGAGCAGAGGTTAATGCTTCAAAGGAGGAGGAAAAGCTGTTTGCATGCAAGTGACATTGAAAGGAGATATGAATATTTTAATACCCGTGGTCAAGGCCAGTGGGTTGCACTACGCGCACATGTTCCATTTTGGCTGGACCCCTCCCGAGCTCCAGTTGTCTGAACTGTGGAGACGTCGCAGAGGTCTGCATTAACACGCACATTATAATGCTGCTCTCTTCCTTTTCTCGTGTACCTAGTAAAACTTTCATAAAAGAAGGGGCCAGAAAGATCTGATAATGATGTATGGCCTTTTACCGTAATCATCTTAGCGAGCGATTGCTGCCTGTGATGTCTGAAGTGATGGTAAACTAATAGTGTGCTGCTTAGGCAGGCAGGGAAATGCATGTCATCAGAAACGCCAGCATCTGTAAAGGCTTTAGGGTTGTTCCTAATATTTTTGTTTCTGTTGATCTTAAACAATGTTAGCAGCATTTGTGATGGAAAACAAATCAAGAGTAGGCATGAAAAGGAACCTCCTGCTCATGCATTATTTTTCTTCCTTGGCTTGCTTTTATTGTATCGCGCTTGAGAAAGACACAGGTAACGAAGCAGTGATTCTGTCTACAGCAGTCTGAAATAATTACTTTTCCACTACTCAGTAGAAAGCTGAAATAGGTAGCTGCAGTAAAACAAAAATAAGTTGGGAGAATATTAATAAACATATCCAATATGCTCCTAGCCTGCATCCACCACCACTTACTAGACGCCTTTGATGTCCATTTTTTTTCCAAATTATTCTTATAAAATGTTTGAAAAGAGAGGGAAGACAGACAGAGATGTAAAGTGCAAATTATAAGACTATATATATATATATATATGTATATATAAAATTCAGTAGATGTAGTATTTAGTGGATTTATAATGCAGTTGTAGATCTGTAATTTAAAGTAATGTAATTATTTGTGCATTCTATATTTTTTTCATTTCTGGTGTGCAAATGGGTGTAAATAATAAGAGAAACACTCAGAACTCTGCTTTCTAACAGTGTAAAGCCTGTATACGGTAGGAAAAATGCCATGTTAAAAAAAAAAAGTGGATTACATTTAAAATCTTTTTTTTTTTGTTTGTTTCTTTAACATGTCTAGCGACTACTGAGCCAACTATGTAGAAGCCTTTACCCTCCTAGGTCAGATTCCAGTAAAGTCTCGTTGCTTTTATAGTATAATGCCATACGGCAAACTGACTCAGCTTTAAGCACTGCATATGGTCCCGAGGGGAGAAATTACCCATCCAAATGACGGGTGGATGGCAGG